GTCCGGGGAGCCACACGGCTCGGTGTTTTCTTTCATCTTGCTTCACCTTCCGTGGCCTGGAAGGACACTTGTGCCATCCTCTTTGTTATCTTGTGGTGTTTGTGGCTAACAGAAGGGCTGGTGGCCCCTGGGCAATCAGCAGCAGGTGTTGGGCATCCCCCTGGTGCTGCCTCACTGCGTCTCTTCAGCCGTTGCCTTGTGAAAAGGCGTTTTTAGCCACAACTGGGATACCAGACAATTCCCTGCTTTGAAATCCTTTTGGAACTTTTCAAACAGACCTTCTGTCTTTGCCTTTGGGTTCAAGTGATCAGCTAAAATTCCCTAAACCAACCCTCCTCCTGCTGCTTGGCACGTGGCGAAGCTGGGCGCGTTTCAGGGCAGCGGCTGGGAGAGGGCCGTCCCCCCCAGGGTGGGGGTTTGTTTTTTGTGACGGAAAGAGTCGCTTCCGATGAAAACGTCGGCTATGCCGATATCCGGGAGGGGCTTTTCGAAGCAAACTCACGTGGCTTTGCCCGGCAGAAGCCACTTTGTTAAGAAAACCAGTTGCTTTTTGTCTCGGTGTTGGCATTTAGTGACAAGTGGGACCAAGATGTCCCCTGGAGAGCTGGGGCATGGTGGCAGCGCCGCGTAATTCCTGGGAACACTGGTACCAGGATTTGGCCAGGCTGTCACTTGGGTTTCTTTTGAATCAGAGCCGGGCAGCGGCTGCCCCGCAAGCCCTGTCATCCATGGGGTGACCCCCCTGTGTCACGTCCCACCTGCCTTCCCTTTGGTCCACCGTGGCTCCATGGGGATCCTGCTGCTGCCTGGTCCCTTCTCAAAAGCCCCTGCGCTGCTTTGGGCACAGGGATGCCCCGTCACTGGGGAGGGTGAGGGGACCGTCCCTGCTCTGTGCCAGTGCCTCTGCTTCCCCAGTAACAGCGACAAACGGGGCGGCTCTGCCCTGGCAAGCAGTGCCCGTCGCCCTCCCTTCACCGGGAGCAAGGAGTGGAGGCTGTGAGCCAGGGCGGAGGGTGGAAGGTCCCGGTGAGAGGTCACCGAATCCAGGCAGAGTTGGAAATGAAGCTGACCTGCTGTGGAGCCAAGCTTCAGGCGTGCTGGAGAAAACTCCCTGTGCCCGTGCCAGCCCTTGGCCTGGTGACGGCTGCAGCATGGCTGCATCCCTGTGCCGGTGCCAGCCCTAGGCCTGGTAGCAGCTGCAGTGTGGCTCTGTACCTGTGCCGGTGCCCGCCCCAGGCCTGGGAGCAGC